ATGATTTGTTTTTCGTTTTGTTCCTTGGAAATGACTTGTATTAAATTAATAAATAATAAACAATTTCCTTGTTCTATAATCCCTCTCTAAAATCCGCGAAGCTTCGAAGTTTCAAGAATTTCTAGAATCTGCGATAAAGTCAAGGAAAGAGAATAATGTAATGGCGATAAGTTTTTACAGGAGGTAACCTTAATAAGCCTTGCGTAATATATAGAAAGGTTTTATTTGGAAAAAGGAACAATGCATAATTCCATTGGAAGATAACGAAACTTATTACTAAAACTTCTGGTGTAGCTTTGAGACATGGTAGACATGTCAACGATAATCTTATTTTAATCAATGAGTATAATACTGCGATAAAGTACATCTTGAAAATTCTGCTGAATTTTTCTTTTATCACTCGAGCTTTCGGTACGTTACTAGGACCATTGTCAAGAGCGAATAAAGTTAGAATAAGTAGTTGAAAATTCATACAGCTAAACAGTTGGAAAACTCATACAGTTGTACAGAAAGGAAGAAGAAAAAACTTCAGTGAATAATACATTTGAATGCGCATTTGAATGTTTGGAGAACACTGTCTTCATACCAAAATGTCCTTTTCTAAGAAAGGACTAGTGAAGGTTCCACTTTAATAAATATTTAATGTAAATTTTACGTCGTTGATTGCTTCACCACGTGATCCATGTGTAATTAAACTTTCTTTAATCGTACGTCTCTTCCAGTCTACTTCATGAGCAACTATCAGTACGTTATCAAAATCCATTTTATGATTGTTATCATACATATGTTGAACGAATTTTGAATTTAGTTTCAGTTTTCTAACGTCATGACGGTGCTCATTTGTTCTGATCTTTTTATCTCTTTCTGTCTCTCCGTAGTATTTTAAATTGCAATCTCTACAAGATATACAATAGATGATGTTTTTAGTCTTTTTGCTTTCGTCTATTCCTTTGAGCAGTGGCAAGAATACACTTTTCAACGTAGTTGTCTTTCTGAATGCAATTTTAATATCTAACATCGGTACCAATCTTTTGCACAGCTTTTTGATACCCTGTCCCAATAAATATGTTTCTTCTCCAAAGTAAGAAAGTGTAATTACATGTCGAATTTATGTTTCAGAGAGACTGGCAGTAACGGATATTTTGACATCACCTCGAATAGGTATGAAGCGCATGTTGTCAACGCTTGTTTGTATCATCCTGCTTACCGAATTTCTATATTCCAGATGTATCGACATAAATCATGATTAACTGTTTTACTTGTAGTTGCATAGCGCACGATGGAAGTCTTTCGTACGACGCACATCGACAGGCATATTTAACACCAACTGATGCATATTCAGTTCGAAATTTCGTTAATTCATATAGTTCAACAATAATATCGAGATCGGTTAGTGATTTGTATAGAGTCAGCTTTTACGTGACATAGTATAGTAAAAAGATTACGTAGTGTGACCTTCTTGTGAAGATTACTAAGTATGACGTGACTAAATGCATCGCCAGAGGAAATTACATATTTTTTAACCATTCTCTTTTCAATGCCGTTTCTCCAATAACTGACAAAATTTCAAAAATAATTTTCCGTTTTTCGGTGCATTCTATGATAATCCCGTCTCCTTTCATACTTTATCCTTTGGCGAATATTTTAAGTCAGTTCACGGCCTCAAGATTCTAGTTCTGCGACTACAGCGATTACGGAACTCTAAGACGTCTCATTTTGAAGAGAACACATTTTTCTTTAAAATGATAATTAAGCGAACGCTAATAGTTAGTACTGGGCAGACTGGAAACTGAACGCTTTATTCGAAAGATGTGGCATCTGTTTCGAAAACTTTATCTTGAAATCCATTCAGTTATCTACGTTCGCTTAATTATTATTTTAAAGAAAAGTGTCTTCTCCTCATAATTAGACATCTTCGAGCTCTGTAAGAGCTTGTCTCACAGAACTATAATCTTGAGAAACGTGGCTGACTTTCGGAAAAGAGGACCGCTACGTGGACAGGCCGTTCACATCGTCCAGTGGAGAATAAATAAATAGTCGGCAAGTGTCAACTTGCATTCACCGAGTTTTCATAAGAAAAAAGACACATAATCAATTTACACTGATATTAAATCGCAATAGAAAAAATTCAATGACTCTATAATACAACGTTAGAGGTTTGTTTGTCAACATTCCATAACAAGGCAGACTGCGCTGCCGGTTACTAATTACCTACAAAACTTCCCTACCACCAATTTAAACAGTATACTCTGCTGGCTTCAGTAAGTGGGAGGAACTTAGTCTCGTCAATCTAGTAAAAACAAAGTACCTGATCAAGAAGAGTGAGTTACAGTCTATCACGCAAAAAGAACCTTATTCAGGAAAGTTTCTTGTCCTGAACAAGTTTAATCTTCATCATCCGCATAATATTCCTCGGCCTCTTCCATATCTTCTTCATCTTCCTCGTCAAATATTTTATCATTCACTTTGGGTATCGCTGTGCCGCCTCTGCTATAAGCAGACTAAAAAACGAATTTAGACAAAAATAGCAAAGCTTCTCAGCCGAAAAAGGATTACGTACTGTCTGTTTAATGTGGAATACTAAACACAGCATGCCAATCACCACCGGTATCTCTGCCTTTAATTTCTGCAATTCTTCCTTAATCGATGTCGAAAACAAAAAACTTCGAATCATGATTCGTCTCTTCCCACTTCGACACCTATCAAATACATACGTATAGTATCAATATACTGAAATACTGGTAGTGGAAATACTAACTGATCAGTATTTCAAGTATTAGTATTTCAGTAATTACAGTATCAGTATTTCCAGTATAATACTGATACCGGTGCATACCTATCAAATAGTACATTCGTACGACTTGTAATGCGATAAAGTTTGATCATAACACGATGTAATTTGTACTGTTCTGCCTTCGAGTTTTCGGTGGAATCGAGACTTGTCAATATTTCATGAATAATAGCCAAATCATCGGCCAGATTCGCACAAACTTCCTTATTTGATATAACTGTTTCCACCTTTTCCATACAGTACTGAATGAGCTTGACAATAGTTGAAAGATCGATTGGACTTGACATTTTTCACTATCTAGAAGAAACCAGTTTAGTCTCAAAAGCTATATAAACCTTTTTGAGTCTGAAAATGACTGTCTCATGAGTGATGAAACGTTTTGAAAGAAAAACTAAACAAATAATGGTCAGAATAACGTGAAGAGAAAAATAGAAGCTGGCATTCTAGTTCCTTATAAAAAAGAGAAGAACAAAAAAACAAAAGGTATGAGTTGAATTATGTGTTTATTTTTTAAGGTACGTTTTATCACCAACAACTCTTTCTTTACGTTTTAATGCATTTTTCTTTTGAAAAAATCATTTCATCATAAACAGAAGGCGTCATAACCAAAACGCATCTGTGTCCTTTTCGTTTTAGCAGCCTGCATTTTTTCTCCGCCAGAAAAAAAATACCCCCGCCGTAGATACATAGATATTTAGATATTTCAAAATGGATCCTGCCTAGATACTTAGTCGTTTAGATATTTCGAAATAGACCCCACCTTAGGTATCTAGAAATTTGGAAATGGACCAACACTAGATATATAGATATTTGGAAATGGATCCCTACCCCAGAAGTTTAAATATTTAGGTATTTGGAAATGGACCCACACTAGATATATAGATATTAAGATATATGGAAATCGACCCGCACAAGATATTTAGATATTCAGATGTTTGGAAATGGACCCACACTAGTTATTTAGATATTTACAGTTTGTGCACGTTCACATTTTATAGGCTAGTTAGATATTTAGGTATTTAGATATTCAGATAGTTACAGTTTGCGTAGGTTCACATTTTGTAGCCTAATTAGATATTTAGATATTTGCAGTTTCTGCAGCTTCACATTTTACAGGCTAGTTAGATATTTAGATATTTACAGTTTGTGCGGGTTCACATTTTACAGGCTAGTTAGACATTTAGATATTTACAGTTTGTGCGGGTTCACATTGTGCAGGCTAGTTAGAGAATTAGATATTTAGATATTTACAGTTTGTGCAGGTTCACATTGTATAAGCTGGTTAGCTTAGACTTTATCCTTTCAGAATATAATATTCTGTATTCAGAGTGTGTATTCAGAAAGGATAAAGTTTATATCAAAAGGGGCGGAAAGTTTAATTTAGGTGAAGTGAGGAAACGAGGGCGAGTACGAGAAGCTAGCTGGTAACCTCCTTATGCTTAATCTATTCGATACCAGGAGCTATCTGGACCGGTTGGTTAAGTGGGCGTTTAGAGTTAGATCAAATAGAGCTAACTCGATCAATCGGTTAACCTATATGATAACCTTCCAAACCGCCCGATCCTAGGTTAAATTTTTTGAGGTGGAACTAGCTTAACCGAGTCGAAAACCGTGTTACCTAGCTCTAACCGTCCGATGCTAGCTCCAGTTTTTTGCTTGGGATATAATTTTAAATATTTTGTCATAGTAGAGAAACAGGAAATAAGCAGATATCTTTCATATCAAGGAGATATAAAATAGTGACTTTACTCCTATAGAAAATTTGTAAAAACGCAATTTTGAATCGTTTACATCTGGCTTTATCATTTTCGTTTGTTATCATCTGTCACTTTAATTTCTTTTAGGAGGGATACTGGACTGGAGTAGATAGATGTGACGCAAAGGAAAAGGAAGATATGCTTAGGTACGACAGAAAGATATGGATGTACTTAGATATGACAAACGAAAGAAAGATTCTTTCTTGTATCTAAAGAAGACCTATAGTCACAGGTTCTAGTGTCAAATATCTGTGCTGGAAGGCTAGGGTCTAAAGACGGGCTAGACATCGTTTCTGTTGATGTGTTTCTATTCTTTTAGATCTATTTGGTTCTGGGTTTCCTCATGAGAACTTTTTGAAAAAGCTCTGGTGAGGAACTCTAGAATTTGATTCTGACCTAATTTTCTACTCACAGTGTAGTTCCAAAATGTTTAGATGGCCTTACGTCTTGGCCTTGGATATATTATGACCAAGTGACTGCCACATTAAAACACATAGCTCTTCTATTTTGTCCGAGTCAAGAATTTGTGTGTAGATTAGTCAAAAGCGGCTCGCTTTTTTTTGGGCCATTTTAATCTTATAATTCGTTCATGCGACTGATACATAAATGGCTCATTTATGATCTGTTATGATCTAAAAATGACGTTACTATGATCATCCGATATAATCCGATGATGTAAAAATGACCTATAAATGACTCAAAAATGAGCTAAATATGATAATAAATCTATGACCATTTTAAGGTCATAATTAGCTCATCAGAAAACGACCTTACTATGTGCCAGATATGTGACAATAAATAACCTTAAAATGAGCTAGTTATGATCATAAATGATCTAAAAATGATTCATTTATGCGTCATTCAGGATCATCAAATAAACATTCAATGATTCTATTTAAGGTCATTTTCTTCGACCTGGGAAAAACAATTTTTCTAGAGTAAAGGAAGATTTTACTAAATTTTGAAAAATCTTACCTCGGTCATGTGAACATTTGAGCCAACTGTTACTCAATGTGAAACTATCTCTGATCGTCATATTGACCACTACATTGTCAGAACCTGCAAACGCTCAAATGAACTTGACTAGCTGTTTCGTAACCTTATTCAGTACGTACATATACTGTAAGTGCATATGTGACAGTTTATATATCCAACTGTGTTGTCATGTTAAATATTTCTTTTATTACATATTTTTCTTAATAAGGACAAGTATGGAAAACTTCGAACTAAATAAATAATAAAATGCGATTTAAATCAGCTGCTGTATTAATGTCCACAATTTTTGATTAGCTATCTTCTGCAAATTTTGTGAATTACAAATGTGCTTCACTACTAACAATGGAAATTGGTGACATCCACCGTGACCATGTAAAGAATAACAGTTCGTTTGCATTAACGTGTCACTCTTTTCTGATTAATAAGTCCATAATTTACCAACAGTTCATTTTCTTGTGCTATACGCACATACGGACAATTGTTTGCAAGGCGGTAAACAAAAGTCACGGAAGCAGACGTTCTTTGTTTCCTAAAAGGTATATATCTGACTTCCTCATTGTATAATTTCATATAATTCACTTCTTTAATCTCGGTGCTGGTGTTAATTAAATGGAACAGAAAATACCTTTCAATGAATTTATGGAAATGTGTGAAGCTGGACGTATATCAGGTAAATCACAGAATTTTAGGGCTATTATTGCGTCGTGCAGGAAGGAATTTTGGAGCTTTTTCTTATCTTTTGTGTGTAGGTTGTGCCATCGCTAGCAGCGCTGTCGTAGTGACTTTTCGTTCAAAAGGTTGAATTAGTGTGGTTGTTCAGAAGTGCACTAGAATTGTTGAAAAAAATAACACTAGAAGCTGTGACCTTTTTATAGACGGTGAACTCCTCTAGGTGGGCACCCACAATAGCCCACCGCATATGATATCCTTTGTAGGAATCTCGCATGGTTTTGTTTGGGATACTGAAGTGTGATTCACTATTTCCTCTTCAGAGTCAGTGGCCGGGGGAAGATCTCTCGAGCATGTAAAATTCCCATAAATTTTTCGAAGTCGGAGTAAATCCTTGAGTGATTGTGAGGAAGGACATGATAATTGTTCAAAAATTTCTCTTCCTTTTTAATTCGAATTATTATTTATTACGACGTTTCGAAGGTTACTACCTTCTTCGTCCGTTCTACTATTACAGATATTACAATAAACGTTTAACAGAAGTCAATCAACCTGGGAAATTATGGAGATATGTAGATGACATTCTGATTTTGACACCAATGAATGAACCTGAATTAATTGGTTATGTTGAAAAATTGAATAAAATTAAAAGTAATATAAAATTTACTTGAGAATATGAGAAAGATAACAAGATCAATTTCTTAGATACGAGTTTAACAAGAAATAAAAATGACAATAGTATTGAAATAAGATGGTTTAGGAAAGAATCAGCTGCGGACAGACTTCTCAACTACAATTCTTGTCATCACAAATCAATAAAAAGAAATATTGTCAAGAATAATTTCAACAACAAAAAACATCAATGAACAACAACAAGATCTGCAGAAACTAAAAACAATGTTGAAAAATTCAGATTATCCAGCAAGAGAAGTCAACAGGCTGATTAAACAAACAGTTAGATCTATGAATCAAACTTCTACAACTCAGCAATCGAAAAAGAAAGATGAATATAAATATTCAATTGCAGTACCATACGTACC